ATCACCACAGTTTGGAGCGCTGGGGAAGATGACGATAGAGAAGATTATAGGATTAAGCAGCTGTTATTTCTCATGGGATAAGTATTTGAACAGCTTGGAGGATATTCTCCAAGACTGGCCTTCCCTCTGCCTATTTCAATCTTGAGCATTTGCTCACCTGTTGAGATTATAAACAGGTGTCCTGAGTTCTGCAACCAAATGGATTCCCAACCAAATGGAGTAATCCAGCTTCTCTTCAGACCCATGTAAGAGCTGGATTCCTATAATTTTCTGAATAACCAGAACTGTGGGAAAGAAGCACAGTTCCTGACACAAGTGTTCACTGGGAGTCTCACAATATAACCAGATGCCACCCAACTTTACCCTTAAAGGATGGTTGAATGGCAGGCTGAAATGCCATCTTTGAGCTGAAACATATCCTTAAACTCCTCAGAAAATAAATCTTCAACAGCAACAGCAAATTTCCTTGCTACAGTATCACAACCTCTTTGACATTATCCACTTCCTTATAAACACAGCACAGTGGGTGACTCTGTCTTTGAGTTACTTGGCAAATAAGCTTTCATTTATTGATTCAGTAGTCTTTATTATTGATGCCTGCTATATGCCAAGAGTGAATTCAATAGAAATGGTACACAAAGTACACACTGAGTTTGTCAATTCTTCGCAGCTCATTCCTGACCATTTTCATCTTTCTAATTACAGTGTTCTTCATTTAGTATCATAAAGTACACCATCTTAACTCAGAACATGGCCTCTTTAGCCCTTATGTGGAAAAACCAATGTCTCTTTTCTAGGAAGGACTTCATCTCTTTGAACAGGTTCTCAAAGTGGCATACCCCCTCAAACAATGAAGATGCATTGAACACACATTTACATAGCTGCATTTTTTAAATGAAATATCTGTTCTATTCACATAAGCTCATCCCACTATTTATATTCAGAAATCTTGACTTTCAAGAATTCTTTCCTGTCACCCTTTTGTGCAAGGTTTGCTGCACTCTTTTAAATTCATTTATGTTCATCTGTTTACAATGGTTTAAATTATCATCCCCTACAGAATGACTGTCTAGAGTAGCATTTATGACTGGTAGGTTTATCCAAGCAGATTCACAGAATATGTACTCCCAAAGAATAAGGGTATGTCATGGAGAGAGTCAGTCTAACTAGACTGACGTCCCCAGAAAGTGTTAGGTCACAATCGAACTGATGAATGTACTTTCTTCCTGGATGTTAAAGCTTCTTCATATATGTTTCCTCACCCAACTCCTAGCTCCAGATGGATGGTGGAAGGAGAAATCTAAATGCAAAGTTAAAAGGTAAAGGAAACAGCCTTCAGATCTACAAAAGATAGAGTGATTTCATTTTTAAGCATTTAATTATCGCTAAGAGATTAAGTTCCTAACCAACTGTGTTGGTTTTTGAGAACACAGCCTCCTGCAAGGTCAGTTCACCTCTGCTCAAGTTGGCTGTACCTTCCCTTCCTCCTCCCTTCCCCTTCTGGACTCTGGCTGGCTTTCCCAGTTTGAAGTCTTATGCAGTGTTTCTGGTAAACTTCGAGTCTTATCAACCAGTCTCCTTATCCTCAAGGGTGTATTGAATATCAAATGAAAACACTGCAGAGTTGGACTAGCAATAAGTTAGTTCTATAATAATTTTTACTGATTGGAGCAAGCCGATTTTCACTTGCAGGAGTTGGGAATGAGGAGGAAAAATTGTGATGAACTCACCAGGTCTTTATTTGATTTTCAAGAGTCTGGGAACAGAATGTGATCTGTAAATTGCATATTCCAAAGAATAAAAAAAGAACTGCAAGCCAATGTAGCCCTGATGCTGAGATTAGTCTTCTTTTTACAAAATTGTGCTGTTCAAGATTTTCTCTCCACTTGTTGTCTCCAATGTGGCTCTTGAGAATTCCAGCTATCAAAAGATCTTCCCATTCCTACAGCAGAAATCTCACCTGGATACAGTTAACCAGAGGAAACACTAAATCTGCTGGAAGATAAAATAGGTCGAACTCTTAAAGACATAGGTGTAGGCAAAGACTTCATGAGCAAAACCACAATCACACACGAAATATCACAAAGAATGAAGAACTAGGATTTCATCTTATTTAGAAAGTTTTTGCACAGCAAGAGAAACCACCAACAGGGTGAAAACACAACCCGTAGCATGGGAAAAAATTTTGCCAGCTGCTCCTTTGGTGATTGACTCTTATCTAGAATATAAAAGCTCAAAAAAAAAAAAAAATCAGAACCCCCGAAATTTAAAGACTTACTCCAAAAATGGGTATCTGAAAAGAATAGACACTTCTCAGAGGAAGAAGTACAAATAGCAAATAAATATATGAAAAAATGTTTAACATCACTGGTCATTAGAGATGCAAATTAAAACAACACTGGGATTCCACTTCACTCCAGAAAATCATCATAAAATCACACATAACAAATTCTGGTAGGTCCATGGGGTAAAAGGAATCTTTCTCCACTGTTGGGAGTGTAAACTGGTGCAAGTACTATGGAATTCAGTGTATACATTCCTCAAAAAACAACTAGAGGTTCGATTTGATCCAGCTATTCTGCTTCTTTGTATCTTCCTAAAAAAATTAAAAGCACTGAACCACACCAATGTACACACACCCTTGTTTAGAGCAGCATAGTTTGTGACAGCTAAATCTTGGAAACAGCCCAAGTGCCCATCAACTAAAGAATGGATAAAGATGTGCATTTTTTAAATTAATGCAATAGAGTAAGTACGACTTTTCTATAAAGGATAAACTTAAGGCATTTCTAGGTAAAGGGATACACTTTGAGACCACACTGCTAAGTGAAACAAATCAGACATACATGCTCAAATATCACTGGTTTCTCTTGTGCGAGAAACAGAAAGTGAAAATAAAGACTAAAATGTATAAGAGATACTGTGAAACAGAAAGAAAATGTTCCAATGGGAAGAGGAACTAGGGTGGGGGAAGGAGGAAGGAAGGAAGGGAAAAGAAAAAAGAACGGAAGGAAAAACGGAAACAAAGCTTGTATAAATAAGAAGGGGAAGTGGGGTCAAGGCAGGGGAAGGAAATTAGAAAAAAAAGAATCGGGCCTGGGGATTTAGCTCTGCGGCATAAGTGCCTGCCTTGCAAGCGCAGGATTGAGAGTTCGATCCCTGGTACCGATAAAAAAAAAAAAAAATCAAGATATATGTATAGGTACAAATTGCATATGAATGTTATCACTATATATATCTAAAATGTATCAATAAAATTAATTTTTAAAATATTGCAGTGTGTCTTTGACTTCTTTATTCACTAGATCTAGTTCAATCTGATTTCTGGCTCTTTCCCAGAGTCACAATGACCATGAAAAGTATGTGCCTTAATTCAACTAGGACATTAAAGCAGATGCAAAAGTGGGAGTAAAGACATTATCCAAAAGGATTTCCAGGATTGCTTCAGAAAGTGACAAGAATAGGGGCTGGGGGTTTAGCTCAGCGGCATAAGCGCCTGCCTTGAAAGCAGGCAGTCGTGAGTTCGATCCCCGGTACTGGTAAAAAGGAAAAAGACAAAAAAAAAAAAAAAAAGTGACAAGAATAAGCGTGTTCAAAGCAAGAGGGGGTGTTACTTTGAGAAGAATTAATGGCAATGTCTTTTACTGCTCCTCAGACCAAAGACTAATATCTAGAATATAAAAAGAACAAAATTTAATAAAATTATTAAAATTTAAACATTCACAGTACTTTTTAAATTACAACAGTTCAGGCATTATTTGTATCTAAACAGTCTACTTTAGGATCTCTGCCATGTTCCTTCTTCAACATCCGTGGTGTTTAATAACTAGGTATGCTGTGAGGTTTCGGTTGTTCATTTTCTGGTGCTGTGGAGCCAACCCCTGCCCATGCAGGTGAACACCCTACCACTAAGCCACAGCCTCAGCCTGTGAATTCTTTAATATGTAAACTGAAATAATCTATAACAACTGTATACGTACTCTATTAATCTTCAGATTATTTTGTTCTCTTAAATTCTATTCGAGGGGCAGGGATTTAGCTCAGTGGTTCAAGCACTTGCCTGGTTGAACTCACAAGTGCAAGGTTGTGAGTTCAATCCCCAGTACCAAAAAGAAAACTTTGTGGGGGTCAAAAATCCTTGAAAATTTTTATCTACTTGTATGAAATTTTGTTCCCAAACTCCTTTTAACTTAAGTTGCTTCAAAAATATAAAACTCTCAAATGTCCAAAGTGTTTTCAAAATGGAATGATCAATTTACTCATCAAATCCTTTCCAATTGAAGGTATGTGCTATAATCTTATTTACCTGAACATCTCTTCTCACTATCAAAAATAGAGTTGTCAGATACAACACCAGTCATTCAACTTAATTTGAATCTCAAATAAAAACCTGGTAACTCTTTGATGTACAAACATTTTGAAAATTGCCTGGCGAATAGTTACACATGATACATTCAAACTATAAAGAATCTACAGATAATAAAATTTAAATTTAACCAACATCCTGTGTTTTTATTTGCTAAATCAGGCAGCTGTACTCAAAGACATGAATCTTTGAGTCTCTGTCATCATCCACCACCTTCACCACTTCCATTCCATTTCTAATTTAAACCCTGTCTTCAAAAACAAATGGGAATATTGATCAATATTGAAACACAAAAGTTAAACCCATTGGTATTGAAGAGGATTGAAAACACAATGCACTGGCCAGAAAAATAAGAAATTTAGAAAACTTTGATAAAATTTAGATATGCATATCAGATCATAAACATGTTCATGTTGAAAGACATCTGTCACAATTGTGTATACATCTTGAGCAACTAGAGCATAGAATATTTCTAGTGCTTAAGCTAGGAAAAAGATAAAATATCTGCTGGATTCTTAAAAAGCAGTTATTAGGTAGGGAAACTATGTTCACGTTTTATTTTGGTGTTTGTACTAATTTGGTATGATTGCTTAAACTCACCTAACTCATTCCCTTTTTCTCCTTTTCTGTTTAGTTACCTCAACAAAAATAGATTCCTGACAGTTATTGACAAAGACGCATTTGGAGGAGTCCACAGTGGACCAACCCTACTGTGAGTAAAACATAAAAGAGAGTATTTTAGTGGGGTCTTTTCTTTCACATTGTTTGAATAAAAGAGGAATGAAAAGAAGCTGATATTCAAAGGCAGGGAATGCTGCTGCCTTAGGTAAAAAACTCTGCTCATATTGTCTATCTGTCTGTTCAAACTACTTCTTGGAAGAAAGTTCTTGTTCTTTGACACTCAGAAGGCTAAAAGCCATAGCAGGTCCTCCTGATGCCTGATCAGGTTAGCATGGGTGTTCACACAGGTTTTGGTTCATGGAGCAGTAACTGCAAAATTGTGAGCTATTCATATAGATAGAACAGACTCTGGTCTTTGCAGGGAAAACACACCTACATATGTACTTTACAATACCTAGTGAATACAAGTGATACCTTGATTAGTTGGGAAGAAGGTAAAATATATGTATTTTTAAAAACAGCTGAAACCATTTATTGCATCAGTAAGAAAGTTCTGTCTAGTTATTTTTTCCCTGTACCAAGGAATGAACCCAGGGTTTTTACACTGAATTACACCTCCAGCCTGTTTTACTTTTTGAGATAGGGTCTCACTAAGATCCCCAAACAGGACTCAAATTTGCAATCCTCCTGCTCAGCCTTCCAGGATGCTGGGATTACAAGTGCGCACCATCACATCTGGCTCCCTCCAGGGTCTTCATCAGTGCGCCACCATCTTCCCCGCCCATTGGCTTTGCCCTAGTTTAGAATCTATCACTGAGCATCTAACCTAGTCCTTGCCAGAGTGTAACCCAGCACCAAGATGCGCAAGACCATTACTCAAGAAAAAAATTATTTACATTTATGTTTTTAAATAAAAACAAATTAGTCTTTATCAATATGTTGTATGCAGATGACCACTGGCCCTCAGGTGTCAGGGAGGGCATAGAGAGGAGAGTGAATGAGCTACAGTTTGACACCTTCACTATTTCACATTTAACAATTGTATCTCACTTTTAGATTAAATGTACCCAGTTAAGTGGTTTATGGTCCTATTAAACATTGTTGTGCCAGGAGAGGAGTCACTGGTAACTCATCACAAAATATTTAAATGCATTACGGTTTTTTTTTTAAACAGAAGACCCATCAGAGGGGAAATGTGTTACCTTTTTCTGTGCTAAGTCTCCATTAGTATTTCTTTTTAATCTAGAAATCATCTTTATATGTGTTTTCAAGGCAAAGATGATAGATCAACAATTAATGAGGGAAGTGATTGCTTTGCTAAAGAAATTCATACTGGAGAAACCCTTGAGAAACACATTTGGAAACCTTAATGTGTTTTGTGATTTTCCTGTTATGAATGGTGAATGCCATAAAAATTCCTTTTTAAAAATCAGAAATAAAATTTAACTTTTAAAATCTATCAAATTGTTTGTATGTGCTACATGGTATCACATACAGACACATTCCCCATCAAACTAAAATGTTGAAGCCTATGATGGTTGGGATAGAATATCACTTGATTGACTCTGGGATCTAGCATGGGGATTGGTGGCACACACTTCTACATGGGTCAAGCATGCATGGCTTTGAGGTCTATGTCTGGCCCCTTGTCTCTTCCACTCTGGCACTGTTTCCCTGTTCTGTTTTGTTACTGACATGAACTAAGCAGCTTTATTCCCCCAATGTGCTTCTACCATGTCTCTGTGTGGAGCCAGTCAAAAATAGACTAAAACAACAAGCACATTAAGTATCTCCTCTTTCGTATTGTGAGTGTTGGCTGTTGTGTCTCAGGGTCCATAAAGCTAGTGCCAAACAAGTGATATTATTTCTATGATTGTACCTGTCAAGCTCAAGGGTGCAAAAGTGTCAGTCTTTCATTTGAGATGAGTGTTCCTGAAACCCCCCGCTCAAGAAGAACCTTTTAGGAAACTGGCTCCCTGGGATTCATTTCACCATGCTTAGCAAGCCAAGTGCTTTAAAGCTGCTGTAGCCATGGAATGGGAATCAGACCTTGGTATTGGCTGTGTGACACTAATTTTATCAGTGTGCAGAATGCAAGAGTTGTAGGGTCAGAGAGACTTCCACTAAGCTTTCAAAGGAAGGCCTGCGTAGCCAGGCAGGGAGCCCCCAAGGGTAGTTTGTGAAGGAGTGAGAATGAAATCAAAGTTGCTGTCGAAACCCAGGAAGTTGGAGACGCCCAGAAACATGGAAGGCCTGCCAAGGAAAGCTGTAAGGTACAAAGTGACCAAGACAAAAGTGGCTGCAGTCAGTAGCACGCGGATGGGGCTAATCAAGTGTTTGGGATCTCACATCTCACCACCATGTGCCCCAAAGGACAAATATAGAGCTACATGATTTAATGTTTGCTCTGCTGGCTAGCTTTGATCCAATTCTTTTTTATTCCTCTATTCTTTCTTATTAGAATGGAAATATTTATCTTGTGCCATTGTACCTTGGGATTATGTGATTTATTTTTTATTTTTACAGAGGTTCATTGCTAAGAGTTCATCTTGTGTCTCAGAAGAAACTTGGACTTTTGAAAAATACTGGAAGTATTGAGAGAGTTTGGGAAAGGAATTATGGTATTTCCGGCTGTACTTGGGATAGTTATATTACATTAGACAGAATTATGAACTTACTATTGTTTTTATTTAGAGATTAAGAATGATTTAAGGAGACACATTTTGGAAGCAAGTTGACAAGGGTTGGGATGTGGCGGTAACAGTGAAGTTTCAATTTGATTAGCTTTAGGATCCACCCTAGGTTAGTAGAGGACATTTCCAGGTATATTTGGGTGGGTCGTGGAGGCATGAGATTATGATTATATTTTTGTTCCTTATTCTTTCTACTCTGGCACTGTCCCACAGCTCTGCTTTCCTACTACCATTAAATACACAATTTTCTCTGCCATCCCCTTCTGCCATGAGGTTTCTTCCTTGGAGCTAGCTGACTATGGGTTGATAAAATGAGCGAATTAAATCTCTCCTCCTTTACATTGATGATGTTGGATATCATGTTCCAATAATCATAAAGCTGACTAACAACATTCTAACATCTAGCACCTCAGAATGTGGCACTATGGAGATAGTCTTTAAAAAGGTAATTCAATTAAAATAAAGTTGTTAGCCAACTAATCCAATCTGACTAATATTCTAAAAGAAGAGGACATTAGAACATACAGAGAGAAATTAGTCAGGCAAATGCACAAAGGAAAATCCATGTGAGAAGCAGAGCTATATGTAAGCCAAGGAAAGAAGCTTCAGGAGAGACCAAACATGCTAATGCCTCTAAGGTCTAAGAATTGCAGCATCCAAATAATAAGAAAATAAATGTTGATCTCTTAAAATGCTAAATCTATAATAGTTTTTATGTTAAGCATTATGACTTATAACTAGACATCTCCCAAGATCTTCATATGCTCATAGGTGGAGTTTTTAAAGGATGATTCGATTATGGGAGTTTATAGCTGACTTGTTTATAGGAAGTAAATTCTGGTCAGAAGTGCTGGGTTGCTGATGGCATGGCCTAGAAGGGTTTATCTCTTTCCTTGGTTCTTCTCTTGATCTGTCCCTGCTTTCTATTTGTTATGCTGTGAGCATCTCTGTGCTCTCCTCTAATATGTCCCTTTGTCATGCCACCCTGTGTTGCAGACAACCAACTATGGATGGAAACCTCTACAAACTGTGAGCCAAAATAAAACTCTCTTTCCTTAAATTGTAGGTGTCAGGTATTGTTTACCAGCAACAAAAAAAGGCAGCTAAGACAGCAACTCTAGCAAAGTAATAGAAATAGAGCAATGTGATTCAGTGGGTTTAAAATCCATGGGTAGAGAGTGTGAAAATGAAATGCCTTCAGATTCATCTACAAAAACAACTGACATCAGAGAATATGAATTACAATCAAAGCATGTATTTAATTCTTGAACTTTACTGAAAAATGAGAATCTTAATTTAATGAGAGTACTTTTGGGAAAAATAGAAGATTCTGTCTCAAACCTAAATTATAAAGCATAAATTTCCAATTGCAAAGAGTAGATGTGATTGAGTAAATAAATGATGCATTTCTTTGAAGACTAAGACAGAGTACTTGCATGGATGAGACCAATAGTAAGCAAGATAATTCAAATCACATAATCTAAGAAAGATTTTTCAGCAAACCTTAAGTATTCTACAGGTAAAAGAGTAGGTGACATTGAAGTTGGAAATCTTCTTCTTCCAGATTGCCACTCTTATCCTGAATAGTCAACAGCTACTTACATACAGCAGGAGCAGAGCAACATTTTCTTTCCGTTAAAAATGTCATCAAAAAAGTCTAAGGTTAAGAGGCACAACTGAAATCTGAAATGAGGCACTGTTTTTGAAAAGAAGATGATATGAAAATGTGTACTCCGGCATACAAGATCAACAACCTCCTGCCCATAATTCAATAAAGTACTGGCATCAGGCAGGAGATCAGAATTTAGGAATGGCTGACAAGCCAAAGAAAAGGGGGAACCTACAGAAATGATCACTCATAGTCCTCTAAATTTGCTAGAGTCAAGCTCATAAGCCAGTAAGTCTACACTTCCTATACAACTCTTTCACAAATATCTTGCTTACTTTTATTTCATTGCTAAGACAAAATATCCAACACCCAAAATTAGGGAAGGAAAAGTTTATTGAGCCCTTACAGTTTGTGTTGGTCTCAATCCATACTCAGCTGGCTCCAAAGTAAGATGGCTGGCTAAGGGGCAACTGCTCATAGTGGCCCCAAGCAACAAGAGTGAAAGGTCACAAAGGGAAAAGCACACCTCCTTCCCTCTCTTGTATTGTATGCAGGCTACCACCTCTGGTTGGGTGCAGCACTCACACTGCCAATCCCAGTGCTAGACAATTAACCAATCACAAATGCTAGATTCAACAACCTCCATGACTGCATGAGGCTTTGTGGGGACAGCCAAACACCAACCATAACAACAAATAAGAACCAAGTCTTTCAGGAAACCCACTGACATGAAAAATATCAGTGCTTTGAAGTTTCAGTGTATGAATCTTCTACTTTCTTGGTTTAAAT